TATCTGTTAGGGCTTGTGTCTGTACTGTTTTCTTTTTTTTTTTTTTTTTTTTTTTTTTTTGACTTGTGCAACATGTCTTCATTGGTACAAACAAAGCGGGTTGACGGATTCCGCCGCTTATTTACGGTCTTTTAAGAATGCAAAAGGTGCAGCAGATTTATGAGGCTGTCTGTGTGCAGAGGTAGGTAAGTCTGCTGCCTTACCTAAGTGGATTACGAGGTTTTAGGCTTTTCTCCTTGCACAACTTATCGGCAGAAAATAGGCGTTGCAAGACGTCGGAGAAATATTGCCACCCTGACTCCTCATAACATCACCATTAGCCACGGAGGATTGCAGAAATGTGATTAATACATCAGCATTTTGACAGTGTGAGGCTGAAAAGGTAATATGGATTATTACAATGGCTGTAGAGCTCAATACCGCCAACCAAGTTTATCCATTTATCTGCAATGATGAGGCTCCTTTGTGTTGTATGCCGTTGTAACATCTATCTAAATAACAAAAGATATCGTTCGTATACGCCGTTGTTGTGCTGTTAATATTCAGCCAATGCAACAATGCATGTGGGAATTGAGTAAGGAGACAAAACTTGACTCAGAGTGGAGGGAAAAGTCCATAGAACATTACGAGCTTTATGAATCGATGTTCGAGCCTCTGGTACTCGCCATTTCTTCCTTGGCTCAGGTATCTGATTACCTTCAAACAAAAATATTGCTCCTGTTCTGTTCAATTACCACTGACCAAGTGCTGAATGATGCAATTCACTATCTAAGAGGTATTTTTTTTCTTCCTTTTTGTGCTCACTTTGTGTGTGTCCCTTTTAGTCAGCCTTGGATGATACGTGCTGAATAAATGCCATTTTTCTGTCGTTTCAAGTGCCTCTTTTCTTTCTGCATTCATTCAAGCTTTCAATACCTTTTCTCCCCCTCTCTTCTCCTGTCTCTTTTTTTTTCCACGAGCAGGAGGGTTTTACTTTACTCCTTTGTCATCCTAATTGATTGCATTAACCTTTTGAGTATTGAATTTCCTGTGCATCATGCCGAGCACAATGTGGAATATTATCATAATCCCTCCAAGTAATGGACACAGGGCAATCAACAATGCTTTAGGAAAAGTACATCTTTGAAAGATGGAGCGTCATGTTATTTTTCCATCCAAAGATCTAGATAGGCGGAGATTGTAGGGCTTTCAGAAACTTTCTCCATAAATCCAGGGTATTTTTTTGTATTGTTCCAAGCAAATAGGTTGGAAACTTACATGAAAGTTTGTGTAATTCTTGATAGTCAATAAAACTGATTTTTATGAGACAAAATAAAAGACATGCACTTCAAACTTGATTGCAGTGCCTTCAGTTTCGCTGAGCTTTATGTTTAGGTTATAAAAATTGTGGTGGAAGCTAGTGTTGTACCGATATGTTGCTAGCTGAGTTAAACACAGATTTGATTGGTTTTTGATTTCTGCCTTGTGGCTAAATTTCTGTTGAAATGAGCTGGCCAAGC